GCTTATAGATTCGCTCAATAAAACGTACATTGCTGGTACGATTAGCCGTGCATCATCGTTGAACTTGATGGTCACACGCACACCAGCATCTCCATATACCGATTTGGTAAATCAGTTTCCTGACCTTTTAAAACCTTCTTTTCGAGGAACAGAACCGAAGCATCATGTGGTTCATCATATTAAAACCACTGGACCGCCAGTTTTTGCACGTCCCCGACGCCTTGACCCACATCGACTTAAAATCGCCAAAACAGAGTTCGATAAAATGCTAGAGCTTGGTATTATTCGACCGTCCAACAGCTCTTGGTCTTCACCGCTTCACATGGTACCCAAAAAGTCTTCTGGTGAAATACGGCCGTGTGGTGATTATCGAGCTTTAAACAAGCAAACGGTACCTGATAGATACCCAATACCACACATCCACGATTTTGCTAGCAACTTACCAAATGTTAAAGTTTTCTCTAAAATCGATCTGGTCCGAGCGTATCATCATATCCCCATCCACCCGGATGACGTTCCGAAAACTGCCATTACCACACCATTCGGTTTATACGAATTCGTACGCATGCCCTTCGGACTGATGAACGCAGCTCAGACATTCCAACGCCTAATTGACCAAGTACTCCGTGGTCTCCCTTTCGTCTACGCATACATCGATGACTTACTAATTGCAAGTGCAGACGAAGCCGAGCATTTGAAACATGTGAAGACAGTGTTTGAAAGACTTAACCAATACGGAATGACTATCAACTTAGACAAGTGCGAATTCGGTAAGACCTCACTGAAATTCCTCGGCCATTTAATCGATAGCCAAGGAATCAGACCAGTTCCTGATGACGTACAAGCCATCAAAGAGTATCCATTACCAGATTCTTTTAAAAAATTACGGCGATTTTTGGGTCTTGTCAATTTTTACCGGCGTTTTATTCCGAACTGTGCTAAAGCTTTACAACCATTAACCGATTGCTTACGTGGACATAGTCGTTCATTCCATTTGCCTGCAGAAGCTGTTAAAGCATTCGAAAATGTCAAACAATTGTTAAATGACAAGACACTCTTGGTCAGACGTCAAAATGACGCTCCTCTGTCTCTCATGACAGACGCTTCAGACGTTGCCATCGGGGCAGTTTTACAACAGCAGGTACACGGCGAATGGCAACCCCTAGCATTCTTTTCGAAACGACTGAATCCTACTCAATGTCGCTATAGCACTTTTGGTAGAGAGTTATTGGCTGTTTATTTAGCAATCAAACACTTTCGACATATGCTGGAAGGTACAGCTTTTACTGTCTTTACAGACCACAAAGCTCTAACGAAAGCCTTATCAGCAAAACAGGATAACTACTCTCCGCGTGAACTACGACATCTCGAGTTTATATCTCAGTTCACTTCTGATCTGCGACACGTAAAGGGTAAAAACAATGAAGTGGCAGACGCTTTATCACGTGTGCACATTGACAACATTGTATGCCCAGACATCGACTACGAACGTCTCTCAAACCTACAACGAGATGATGCCGAGCTAAAAAAGATCATGTCTTCTAAAACAACATCTTTGAAGCTAGACGCAATTCCTTTTGGCACGACAAAAATAATCTGCGACACCTCTACAGGTAAATATCGACCTTTCGTCCCAGCAGCTATGAGACATACAGTATTCCAGAAGTTACATAACTTGTCTCATCCCGGTGTCAGTGCTACTATCAAACTAATAAAAGAAAGATTTATATGGCCGAACATTAATAGCGATGTTAAGAAGTGGACACGAACTTGCTTGTCTTGTCAAAGAGTCAAAATCAACCGTCACACTAATGCACCACTTGGTCGCTTTCCTAACCCTGACTCTAGATTTGAACATATACATGTAGACATAGTTGGTCCACTACCTCCTTCCAATGGTTTCAACTACATTCTAACTTGCGTCGATAGATTCACTCGTTGGCCTGTAGCAGTTCCAATAGCCGACGTCTCAGCTGAAACGGTAGCTAAAGCTTTGGTAGAAAACTGGATAGCTAATTTTGGTGTCCCATCCATTATCACTACGGACAGAGGTGCTCAGTTTGAAAGTCGACTTTTTCAACAGCTAACTGAATTACTGGGCATCAAACGAATACGAACAACCGCCTACCATCCTAGTTCCAACGGCATGGTTGAACGCCTTCATCGACAACTCAAAGCTGCGCTAGCTGCTTCTTTGACTCAAAACGACTGGTCAACCAAACTCCCACTGGTACTGCTTGGTATACGATCTGCTCTAAAGAAAGATATTGGCTGCTGTGTTTCCGAACTAGTCTATGGAACAACATTACGACTACCAGGAGAATTTTTCACCCCAGGTAACCAAGTTCCACAAGATATGACTGGTTATGTGCAGCAGCTAAAACAACACATGAACGAGCTCAAGATATCACTTCCACGCCATCAGGAACGAACGTCATACATCCCACCACAACTGACAGATTGCACTCACGTCTTCGTCAGGAGAGAGGGTGTACAACGACCACTTCAACCCGCTTATGATGGCCCATTCAAAGTTCTAAATAGAAACGATAAAGTTATCACGATAGAACGACTGAATAAAGCAGAAGCCATCAGTGTCGACAGAGTCAAACCAGCGTTCATCGACGATTTCGAAGCCAACGATAAAGACCAGCTGAACGAAGTGCCAACATCTACATCCACGCAAGCTTCAACGTCGCCAGAGAAACCTATGAAAACTACACGCTCTGGTAGGAGAGTTCATTGGCCTAAACGTTATGTGCAAATCATCAAAATATAACTTATCACGAATTTTCATTTTTATTATCTTTATTCGTAATTGTCATTTGACTACACATTTAACTGATTAATATCTTCATACGTCGATCACGTCACTACTATGTTAACATTGATATTTCCTGTATTATTACATTTAATCATATAGCGCTTAATATTCACGTATCGTTTCCGTATACAGACTACAGATCCCCGGCCGATTGTATCATTCCTTATATATTCTACCACGATCAACAATCCTATTTTTTGTTTTATTATCGCAATTATTATCGGCCTTAGTGACTCATTTTGCTCATTTTTTTCAGCTTAGTAAATCGCTTTCTATGTACTATCGCTGCTACGTATTACGCTGACGCATTTTATTGTCGAACACTTAAATGTATTTTTTTTATATTTCAGTGTTCTGGTGGGGGAATTATGTAGTACCCCTATACCAACTATAAACATACGTTTTTAATTTAATTTGCATACTCATATTATATGTTTACACATATCGATTTTATATGTACTTCGTAAACATTTGTCAATTTACTGTTGAACGTTACCTTGATACAATTTCGAAATTTGACTACGGCTATAATACACGATTATACTCTTCACAAGTGCCTTCTGATTTTACGTTGTGGGCGTCGAGTAGCCACGACGTTTGCGCACATTGATAAACGTGAAGAAGTACTAGGAAATACGTGTACGCCCATTTAGTCAAATAGAACACGCAATAGATTCTTGTATACCACATAACCTCATGCCTTGTTCTTTAATAAACAGTAAAATGTAGTCACAGAATATTAGAACAGTGTGGAATTTTAAGATGTATATTTTCTTAAGGCCATTTTATGGCTTGCAGGCTAAAACTAAATGGCAGCCTGAGGATTAACTGTAAGACTTGATGTATATCTATTGGACCGAATCAGCAGTAGTGAGTTGCATAAAAACATTAGGCGGCAAAACTAGCAGATAACATCCACTTATCGTAGAATCGCATCGCATCATCCAGTACCACGTATATGGTACTGTAGCGGCAAATAATTCCCCAAAATTATTAACCACAGCAATCATCACTCAACATTGGATGCTGACCATCACTGTTTAAGTCGACTTGTTTAGCTGAAGGCTTACGGTCAAGCATCTCCGCCATTTGGTGCTCCGTCGTGTCACGTGCGTGCACGATTACTAGCTAGCTAAGCATTCACCTCTACCCGCGATTTTGTCCCGAAATATAATACGTACTTTGGACGACAAAATCTGGTCTTTTGCTTTACCATTTGGTACTCGAAGAACGAACACTATAGAAGTTGTTGGTATAAGATCTTGCGTTAGTATAATCCGTACAACTCGCAAACGTCGATACCCGCAGTCTCTAAAGTACCATTTTGAATAAATTTCAGTGTGTATTTTAGAAGGCTTTTGAATCTCTTTTCAGTAAAACGTCCAAGTATTATTATGACAGTCACACTTGTAGGGTTTTCAAAGTGTAATTACCAAACATATTTCGACCTCAAGTTTTAAACTCGATCGACGGACTTCCTAAGCTTTGATGATTCCGCAGATTAAGACTTTCCCATTATTTCACTTTGGAAACCATATGGAAGTTGAGCCGCGAATAATTGCCAGAAGTTATTGTTCTGCAGGAATGTCCATTCAAAATTAGGTGCTTACTTTCACTTTTTAACTCGACTGGTTAAGCCGAAGGTATTCTATGAAGCACTGATGCTATTTGACACCCTGTCGTGTTGCATTCATTCGATCGTGCACTGACCCTAGGTAGTTAGGCTACCATCACAGCTTCACATTTCTCAACCGGGAATATGTCTTCTATTCTGGACTATGAATATGTTGTTCTGACATGTCGTTGGCCTAATCAGAACAAGTGCCCCGGAGATTGGATTACGAATACTTGAGTTACTTTACAGCTAAGTAGTGCAGTTAAATAGGTGGGAGATATTTCATTTAAGCCTTAATAAAAGGAGTCAGATATCCAGCAGTGACAGCAAAGCCTAGGAATAACAGTATCTTAAAAGAGTCTTAACTTCTAGGAATTTTTCTAACATAGACGGATTCATTCCTGTGGCCTTTTACAGTTTGCATATACCTATACTTCATGCAGAGATTGCATTTCTGGTGCCAACGTAATTGGGAAATGGGAAAAACTGGACTAAGTCCCAACATAAAAGCCATTCAAACCGTACTTCGTGAATTCCTGATATGTGCAAATGCAAACTCACCAATTAAATATATGATTATATGGTTTGACCTCTGTTTTTTGACAACATTTCTGACTAAACACGTGACAAAATTTGAGATTATTGTTTTCTGCAAAAAATACAACGAACTTGTAAAGCCACAATTTACAAAGTAAATTGAATTAGTGCAGTATAACAAATTCGGTTGATAAGGAGGCAGTCCCAATAGTAGAAATATATGGTCCATTAAAAACAATGTATCTGTCTCTACTGCCATCTGTAGAGACTGGTTGATAAAAATTTATATTGTACTCCGAGTTTTGTCCATTTGAAAACCGATTCAGACAGGATAGTAAAATACATTAAATTATGATAATGTCACCCTGAGGGATACCATAGATACCCTCCAGTAATACGCGTTGGATTCACTGCACTGGATCGAGTACAATTTTGTATACATGGTGATGTCAGCCCAGGTTCTGGGGTAACTGAAGGTATGAAGATACAGCTTTCGTGATCGGCTGTCAGACATTGAACATATCATTCTTGTGACAGGTTTGATAGCCTTCATTTGTACTCCTCATAGGCGATCGGCATTTTATCATGTGAGTAATGGTGTAGCAATTGACACACATATATTTCGTACGGTTGCGTAAAAACTCAAGTCACCCAATCGTTCCAGGCTCCTAGAGAATTAGTAACGTATGATTCCTTCCTGTTACCATTGTCAAGCCCAGCGCAGTATGTTTTTTGTCGTTCACATTTTGCCTTGCATAACATTCTAACAGGCTTTTTATCACCTCTGATATAGTCTGAAGTAGAGTTACGGGTCTACATAGGTTTTTCTGTTATCTGCTCCTTTAGAGTTAAGTGACAGAGCAGTCTGCTCTCAATGTCTCGGTAACTTATATCTGTTCATTCGAGTGTCTAAACAGCTTACTTCGTGAAACAAATTGCCTGAGAACAACTAAGTTTATGTCTTAGCGTCCTTGAAATGATCCCGGAGGAAACATTGTTAGATTCCCCAGAAACATGCTAGAGGTTATTTGGAGTGCCAAATCCTTGGTGGTCTCAAAATGCACTGTGGATTTTTTGGGTGTGAGCTTCCCTCTAGTATTATCGCTGCTTACCTGTTATTAAGGTGAGTCCCTTAAAACTTCAGATGTCCGTAGATCAATTCGAAGTTCGACCTTTCGGTCTCTAGCCACACACTGCCTAGATAATGTCTCTCCTCCGAGCCATGAATCAGTAAACATTCTTTGGGTTGGTCAGCATCTTATTGTCTAGGTTTGCCTGGAATGTTTTTCTATCCACTAGAACAAAAATATTACACCGATTTCTTAGGACAAGGCATGCTGCTACTGCAGACTCTTTCTCTTAGAATTGTTATCCATGCCATTCCCAATATTCTGTGTGTCTTTCTCATAAGCACAAAGCTGCCTTTATTATAATACTATTACGTGTGAGACTTATCGTTTGTGAATTGATGTTTCGCAAATAAACCAGTAAATGCAGCTGCACTGTCCTTGCTATATCACTGTTTATTTTCTAAAAGGAGGTGTTAAGCTATGAGAATGTAATCTAATAGGGATAGTTTGACGCCTGGCCAGGAGTATTTGTCGTCCTCTATGGTGTCGCGCAGTCAAATACTTGAGGTAGCATCGAGCAGCTTGCTATCAAAAGCTCCTGTTTGGATATGCTCCTTACTGATGTTTAGTGATAGTGCACTAAGTTTACCAGCAACGAATCTAACCAAAGTCTGCATTTTAGGCTGCTTTGTTTCTTGATATACTGAGTTGGTTGTTTTCTAGAAGACGTTTCTTGGCATTCTGCGCGCTGCGACAAGAGTCTAGATTGAGATGCTCCTCACCCGCAGATGAATCCTTGAAGGTACATAAAAATCGAGGAATAGTAAAGAAAGAGTAGAACACTAACGTTACTTTTTTGACTTTAAATTCGCTTGACCATCTAGATCTCTTTAAAGTATTCCTGTAACAAGCACATATGTCCTATTTAAGTGTTGACTCGAGGAAGGTAGTGCCTGGTGTGTAGCAGAAGCAACTATAGTATAATGTTAAGGCAAGTGGAATTTCACTACTGATGTTCACGTGGGGAAAATATTGTTGTCTGAGCCTATCATATTCCTTTCATCAGCTAGCTTTTTTCAGACGAGTCCGGTGAGTGTGTGAGTAATAAGGTGGCAGAAGAAGATAAAAGCCGAACAACATAAAAATAACAGTTACACTGCTTCTACTACCGATAACTGTGTATCTACATGTACATCCCATTAGTCTGACCGCATTTGTGGTTTTTGTATTATGGACCAGTAGTCACAAATATCGTCACAGAGTCCCACGAAGGACGTATTCAAATTTAACATAAACCCGATCGTACTCACAGTGCCATCATTTGATTAGAAGTTGTCTATGGGTCTCGATGGGTATAGCTGTGATATTCGTCCAGCAGTACGCCTAAATTTGGGTGTTTCGGGTTATGTTGGATAACATGACGACCCTATGTTAAGAGGAGTTTCAGCATCATGCTCACCTATGTCTATCGAGTTGGTGTGTGCTGTTCTCGGTGAAGAATTGAGCGTTGGAGTACTGGATGTGCTATAGGCTAAGGCATTTTTATTTTTAGTTAAGCTAGAAACGGGGGTAGGGATCTTTATTTGACCTAAACTTGTGCATGTACCAAGTGTGCTTAGTGGATGCGGGTGAACTAGACTGTTCCTATATTCATGCAAAGGGGGAGCCAGCACTAGCGGTTTAGGAGTGTTAACATCCCTACCAGCTTTTTTTCAACGCTGACAGGGACGCAGGGGATAAAAAATGATTGGGACCTTGTGAAGACCATGGTTTATTATTTCACCTATTGTTAGGTACTAGTTGTGCCCTTTTAAGGGTTTCGTGTGTGTGGGTTAGTTCCCAGCAGACTTGTACCATATATCCGATCAAAATTTATTTGCGTGCCATACTGTGAATGCCCTGAGTTGTTGTTGGTCGAGTTCTGACTTTTGTCACTTGTACTCTCGAGGGTGGCATTGTTTTGGCGTTGGTTATCAGTGTGGGCCATGGTGCTATTTCGCACGTTTTGGGTGCCAATACTATTGACCGTGGGGAATGTGGGCTTACTTATACTGCCGTTTTTGTTGTTGGCATGATTTGGGGTCATATGCATACATATATAATATGTTCATAAAGATGTACGCGGGGACCTATTGGAAGCACTCATTAAGAAAGCTAGGGAGATGGAATATGGGGTACGAACATGTCTGGTACCAAGCAATATATTTGCGGTAACCATAATAATCATAGTCTCAGAGCCTAACATCAAAAAAGGTGGGAGGGTGGAGTTAGCTGATCAGTAGATATGGTGGGGGTCACTAAGGTGAATCGCCCCATTCTGCAGGAACAGCATTAAAAAATTTGAAGGCTCGAGATATTTCTGATTTTTATGAGGGCTTAAATCTTTATCTTGAAAAAGATAACAATGAACGCCTTGACAGATCATGCTTCTACCTTTAAATATATACCATTCACCCAGCCTATTGTTGAGATGCGACCATGTGGGATCTGCTCAGATTTATGGGGCATCTTATAAATTAACTTGCTGTCTATCGTCAGATCTTTTCATACCACTCCACAATGTCTTATCTCATTTATTTTCTGACAACGTCTTCACTTGATCCTCATTTTACTCCATTAAACTTAACATCTTATAGCTCTCCATTACTTATTATACTCCTACTCTCTGAAGGGTACGGTTGTGCACTAAATGCACAAAAAGGTATAAAATAAAAACAACTGGCATGGGGATAATTGTATTAAAACCAAAAGTGGATATCATGATAGTTTGTGATATATCTGTAGCATTATACATTGCAAATGAATGTTGTTACCCTAGGGTGTTTCCTTTATTAATGCATTTATTAATGATACTTGCACTTACCTATTTCATTACAATTTAATGATTCACCTCAGCACTTTAATTTTTCTAAAACAGATTCCAATCCCTTGTAAAAGGTGTACTTACTTCAATATTGGTTGGTTATCGTATGCCTACAACCACGGGATGAAAACGGAACGAAGTCGATTTTCCCGCTCAACCTGGAGGACAACTGTACAATTCAATAACTATACGGCCTAATTCAGAAAATGAGTGTATTATATGTATCGAATATTTAACAGTTGAAATACGATTAACTTGTAGACAATCTACGATTTGATATTATATCATACTTGATCGTGCCTGTAAAAATGGCATGCATTTTCATGTAAATTTGTAAATTTATATGAAATACATTATTATTATATTCTTTTTTTCCAATGGACTTATGGCTAGGAGAGGGCAGGGTCGACTTTCGGGGGATTTCGACTTTTTTTCCGGGATTATTTAGTGACATGTCTATATCTACGGTGACAGGGGGTATAGTTTTATTGGCTATTTGATTACAATTTAGTGGCCTTGCGGTTGGTGTCGCTCTCTGAGAAGACAATTCTGTGTGGTTTGAGAGGGGTGGTGCGGTGGATTCAATGGTATCTCTCAAAGGGTTGGGTATAATTGCTGCTTGCAATGTCCTATTGTTTATTCCAGAATTAGACTCAGTGTGATAATTATATACGCGCCTTTCTATGACGGTCTTGTCCACCGCAACCTTTATTAGTTTTTAATTTCTGGCTTGCGATAGGGTGTGTTGGGAGTGGATAAATTTTCTGGCCTCAGCCGGTGTTTGGAACTGAAAACGAATAGGACAACACTTTTCATGTTGACTCTTCTTCAGCCTGTAGCACTTAGTCTTGGAGTTGGGCATTTTCGCCTCACTAAGTAGGATGCGCTGTACCCTTTTTAGTGCCTCATTGTCCGGAAGGTTGTAGACAATAGCATTTAGTTTAGCGTCGAGTCGTTTTGTTACTTCTGTAGTAACAAAGTTAATTAGGTTATCCACCTTAGATACCGATTCCGTGTCAAGTTTGTTAAGGTCTACAGTTTTCATGAGGATAGTTAAGGGTGTCAGTTCACAGACCTGCGATCTGATATCGCTGATCTGATCTGATAACTTGGATATTTTGGTATTGGTTTCAGAAATTCCAGGATTTACTGATTTGTTGTTTTTTATTTCCCTTAACTCGGCCTTAAGTTCTCCTATAGACAACTTTAG